TCGGTTCCAAAAATTGATGCAGCAGTCATTCACATGGCGAAAAGAACGACTCTTCCCATAGATTCAATGGCATATTTAAGGGAGCCAATGGAAAAGCGATTGGACGCTGACCTGATTAAGGCATACCTGGCCCTGGGATCGGCATTACATCCAGCCATTGCCCTTACCACCTTGTCCAGAGCTCTTAAAATATGGGTTGATAATCTAGAAGAGGCTATTACTAGTGGAGTCCGTAGAGAACACCTGATGGAAGGCCCTAAAGATTTAAAACTGGCCACAGAATTCTGTTCTGAAGCTTCCCTGGATCTTACTAAAATGGTAGCTAAAAGTATGGCGCTGTCAGTAGCTTCTAGGAGAGCATTATGGCTTCACTCTTGGGGTGCAGATTACGCCTCTAAGGCCTCTCTATGTGCGCTTACTTTTCAAGGTGACCTTCTATTTGGTATAGTCCTGGAAGATGCAATCCATAAAGCAGCAGATGGGAGAAAGGCTTTTCTCCCCCAAGGGAAGAGAAGATTAAGTGCTTCCTACTGGAAGGATAAAAAATTCAGAGACCGATCCTTTCGAGATGTCAGAGCATATAGACCCAGAAGAGAATACTCCAGGAATTCTAATTGGAGAAGCTATCAGTCCACTTCGTCAAAACCGGTTAGAGGAAGAGGATCTAGACCAGCTAATAAAAGCTTCTGAACGTTTGCTGGCCCAGCCAGATGTTATAGGAGGCAGACTTCGCTTCTTTTATCCGGTTTGGGCCAGAAGTATTCAAGATACTTGGGTTCTTTCTATCCTCATGGAAGGATACAAGATAGAATTCAAATAATTCCCTTCTCAAACCTCCTTTATCCGTTCAAGAGTGGCAAAAGGAAGAAAAGAAGTTGCTCTGAACGACATTATTTCTTAACTACTACGAAATCAGGTCATAGAGAAAGTCCCTTACAGAGGCCACTACTCTACGATATTTTTGGCCCCAAAACCTCAGGGGAAATGGCGTCTAATTCTGGACCTAAAAGTTCTGAATACATATTTGGTTCAAAGAACGTTCAAAATGGAGTCCATTACCACAATCCTGCCCAATATAAAGACAGGGAACTGGATGACTTCTATCGATCTCAAGGACGCCTACTATCAGATACCTATTCACATCAGTCATCACCGGTTTCTGAGGTTTTGGATTTCGGGGAATCACTACCAGTTCAAGGGACTTCCTTTCGGCTTAAGTCTGGCGCCCAGAACATTCACGAAGATTCTAGTTTCTCTGGTGGCCTTTATAAGGACAAAGAACATCGAGCTTTTTCATTACCTGGACGATTTTCTGATCATAGGTCCATCCAGTCAGATAGTAAATGTCCACACGTCAATAACCATCAAATGCCTTCAAGATCATGGTTGGCTGATAAACCCCAAAAAGAGTTCTTTGGTGCCTTCTCAGAGGATGATTTTCCTGGGAGTAAATATAGACTCGGTGAATGGCCTGGTATCACTGTCTACAGACAGAAAAGAACGAATAGTGAAGAAGATCAGAAGCCTGCGTCAGAAATCCTATATCACAGCAAGAGATTTCATGAGCCTGTTAGGGTCTCTTACTTCCACGATAGGCCTAGTGAAATGGGCCCAGTGGAGGATGCGACCCATTCAGAGGCATTTTCTCTTACAGTTCAAGGCAAACTCCGGAAATTGGGATCATAAGATTCGTTTACTCCCGAGAATTTCGAAAGAGCTGTATTGGTGGACAAAAGAAAAACACCTCCTTTGTGGTTTTCCCCTGGAAGAGCCGGTTTGGATGACTATAACAACAGATGCCAGCCTCCTGGGATGGGGAGCACACCTGAACAACTCATGGATTCAAGGAGCTTGGTCATGGAAGGAGTCAAAACTTCATTCAAATTTGAGAATTTGAGAAATGAGAGCGGTTCTCAAGGCATTAATAGGGTTCCGTCCTCTATTGAGGGATGCCTGGGTGAGGATACATACAGACAACAGAGCAGTGGCTTCCTACATAAATCATCAGGGAGGCACTCGAAGCTATTCTCTACTAATGGAATTGTCCCCAATAATGAGGTTTGCGCAACTGCATTTACAAGGCTTAAAAGCGGTTTATCTTCCGGGACCAGAGAATTTATTGGCGGATTACCTCAGCAGAACAAGGATTCTCCAAGGAGAATGGAAACTGCACCCAGAATTATTTCACTTGATCACTCTGCGGTGGGGAGTACCCCAGATCGACCTGATGGCTTCATACAACAATTCTCAGGTGAAGAGGTTTTACTCCCTACATGCGGATCATCGAGCAGAAGGACAGGATGCCCTGTCTCTTCCATGGGAATTCGATCTGGGGTACGCGTTCCCTCCCCTACCAATGATTTACCGACTGCTGAGAAAAATATGGAAGGAAGGTCTCAAAGTCATTGCCATCATCCCAATCTGGCCTTGCAGACCTTGGTTTCCTCTGCTGAACAAGATGAGCCTGGAACCTCCTTGGCCTCTTCCTCTCAGACCAAACATCTTAACTCAGGGACCAGCTGTTCATCCCAACCCCAGCCAGCTGAAATTGGGGGCATGGCTCTTGAAAAGGAGAGACTACTAGCTCAAGGGATCTCAGAAGCTGTGGTGACTACTCTCCTTAAATCCAGAAAAGTATCAACTTCTTCCTGCTACCATAAGATTTGGGAAGTTTTTCGTTCCTGGTCTCAAGATAATAATGTGGATTTTCTTCAGCCATCTAACATCAACATTCTACATTTTCTTCATACAGGTCTGGAGAAAGGGCTGAGTCTTAGTACTCTAAAAGTCCAATCATCGGCTTTATCTGCTCTCTGCAACAAGTCTTGGGCATTGGATCCTCTAATTGCTAGATTCTTTAAAGCAACCATCCGTATAAGACCTCCAAATAGGAACTACACTTCTCCGTGGAATTTACCTATGGTACTAGAGGTATTGTCTGAAAACCCCTTTGATCCATTAGATGAGCTGGGTATTGTCTTACTAACATATAAGACCTTGTTTCTGGTGGCTGTTACTACTGCAAAACGCATGTCGGAAATTCATGCATTTTCCTGCGATGAAAATCACTTTCAGGTGTTCCACGACAGGGTGATCTTGAGACCCAGACAAGAGTTTCTGCCGAAAGTTGTCTCAAATTTCCACATCTTACAGGAAATTGTTATTCCTTCCTTTTATCCATCTCCTTCTACTCCAGAGGAAGTGAAACTTCATCAATTGGATGTCAGGCAGTGCCTACTCAAGTACATAGAGGTTTCTACTCAATTTCGGAAGTCTCAACAGCTGTTTGTTCTTCCGATTGGTCCCAGAAGAGGGGAGGCAGCCTCTACTTCCACCTTGACCGTTGGATCTCCAATACTATAATCAAGGCTTATCAGTTGAAAGACCTTGTTCCTCCTAGTAGGATCAAATCACACTCTACAAGGGCTTTAGCAACATCATGGGCTAATTGGGCAGAAGTTCCATCTGACGACATCTGTAAGGCAGCTACGTGGTCTTCTCCTCTCACTTTCATCAAACACTACAAACTGGATTTGGCATCTTCCTCTACGGCTTTTGGTAGAGGTGTTCTGTCCTCTGTGGAATCTATCTAAATTAAACTTTTTTCAGCATTATCTGGTTTGGAGTTTCTGTTTTTTTTTTTTTGAATTTCCCACCCTATGGTGAAGCTTGGGTATTACCCATAAGTGATGCTGCCATGATTAGCCAGGAATACAGAAGATTTTATCATACTTACCGTAATTTTCTTTTCCTGGCTATTATTCATGGCAGCATCAGCAACCCCCCCCTTGTTATCAGTTTTAGCTTTGGAACTAGACTGTGGGATAGAAGGAGGAGGGACCTTTTATACCCAGTCTGGTCCGGATTAATTGATTTTGTCCTGTCCTGTTCCTGATTGGGGCGGAGCTACCCATAAGTGATGCTTCCATGAATAATAGCCAGGAAAAGAAGATTACGGTAAGTATGATAAAATTTTCTGTATTTTTTTTTGCCTTCTTTTGGATCAACAGCAAAAAACAAATGTGAGGAAGGCTGCACTTGATGGACGCAAGTCTCTTTTCAGCTATGTAACTATGCCTCACAGATGATGCCTAACAAGGCTGAAACGATCGTCTGGGGTTGCTGTGTCCCTTGTGCAGAGGGAACTTGCTTGCATTTTGGATCTGGACTGCCTATATGGGTAGGACCAGTCTATGTTTGAGTTGGGGACCCACCGTATGGCAGGCTATTCCAGCTGCTGCCCCATCTCAGTATTCTCTTGCCCCCCAGTTTTTTTGCTCTCCATATTTTTAAAGGGTAATCCAGACGTGGACCCCTTGCTCATCAGTTATGCCTCATTGATGATACCTAACAAGGTTGAAATGATCTTTTGGGGTTGTTCTCTCTTTAATGGCACAAGAAGAGCTAAAACCAGCTTAAGATCTGAGTGGGGACCTACCGAAGGGCAGGCTATTTTAGCTGTGCCCCGTTTTTTGCTCTCTATATTCATTATGAAAAACATGTACTATTATTTTAATAATTTTATTGGCCAGTTGGTTCACATATCCTGTAAACAAATACAAAATATCAATTAAGATGGAGGTGATGTTTTAGCCATTGAGTGGTTCCCGGGGATGACATTTCCAGTGAAATAATAGTTTTTATCTTGGAGGATGAGACTAAGTTGGGAGGAGGACAGTAAAAGGCGTGTCCAATGGGTTTAGCAACCCTAAATTTGTACGTGATTTGTGTGTATAAAACACAATTTTTGGAATATGTAAATTAGAGTATATTATAAGTGGATTATTCATGTTGTCTATGTGCTGAAATGTCCCTGGGGGAGGGGACAGAACAACATGTCTTTTTGTTGTCGTTGCAATTCTTTATTGTTGGTGTGCATGAATGATACATGGCAACAATATACTGTTAAGCAAGATAAATTGTTATAGACATGTCATAAGAAAACAGAACAGTAGAGTTTAGTCTGCACATTTTATGTTAATTATTCAATCTAGAAAACACTGCTAGTGCTGGATTGTCAAGGATTAACAGGGTAAAATGTGAGAAAAAACACTGGTTGCATAAACTGAATTAGATTAGGGGCCCTATGCCCATGAGTAGTAGAATGTGAGCAATACGAGTGTATGTTGAAAAATAAGGCCACCAAGCAATGCAGAGATAACGTACATTTCTAACCTCAATTTTGGTTGCAAGTGAGGAGGCACATAAAATGTTAATTAAAATGAAAAACAAGTTGCTGGGGAAAGACAGAATTGATACGAGTAGCCTGGATGTATTCTTAGACCAGATGAAAACAGACCTCTCAGCCTATGCCCGTGATGGTCAGACTGAATGCAGTCAGTTGCAGTAATGACTTCTCACCTCCCGTGTTGCCGTGCAGCATCACAACAGTCCCCTGTGTTGTCGGGACCAGTTCCCCATATCCATAAGCCTCCCTCACTGTCCCTGGAAGAGGGCTTCGGAGTCTTAGGCGACGGTGTTGCAGCCCAGAGCATGGACTACGAGTGGTGATGTGAACTTCTGGGTTCCCCACCCAGGAAGGGGGCATCGTAGGTGGCCTTCGCTGCTCTTAGCAGCTTCTTCTATACCGCTGGCACATGGTGTCAAATCTTTGCTGGAATTCTGATTCCTAGCTGCTGAGTTGCAGGTGAGCTTGTGTAGCATTGCTGTTGGCCATTTTTGGAAGCTGCCTTCACTAGTGTTGCCCAGGAGCATTAAAGAGGTAAGTACTTGCTTGGTGGGGGCTAGGATAACGCCCACCAGTTCAGGGGTGAGTACAAGACTGTCCACAAGAGTAAAAGTCACCTCAGACAAAGAGACCAACTGCTTCTCACTTCACGGCAGCACCAGGCTGCAATAGGATGTTGGCCGCAGCTGCCGGTTTGCAAGACTGGTGGGTTTGTAATACACTACATCAGGGGTCCTCAAACTCCGGCCCCCCAGATGTGCTGAACTACAACTTCCATGATTCTTTGAATTACATAGATAGCCAGAGAACCATGGGAGTTGCACTTCAGCAACATCTGGGGGGCCGGAGTTTGAGGACCCCTGCCTACATAGTCCCTCAAGCGATGCAGGATAAGGTTTTTCATGTGAGGACCATCTGTGTTGGGGTATGTGGCCCCTTTAGAACACTTTTAAATAGAGTTTCGCCAGGACCTCAATTTTCCTGAGTTATATTGGATATACACATTGGATACTTGACACTCAAAAAGCTTAAGAATAAATAGGGACTTTTCAAAATCATATTTTTCAAAATCATATTTTGCACCGTCTATGTAGGATTTTAATTGTCCAAATTGTACCTGTTGTTACTGTGTAGATTATTCTATGTTCTTATTTACCTCCTGTTTTTATCTATTGACTTTTATGAACACTTCACTAATATGTGTTTTTATCTTTTTGGCTACTGATATTTTTGAGCAGTCAATGGTTGGTCCAACTTCTGATTTATAGGGAGCCTAAAAGTTCATCCAGATCTATGAGTCTTCTTTGGCATCCATGTCTTTGATTTCAATCCCAGATATGATCAGGGTCTCTGACGACTTGGTAATTGATGGACCCACTTTCTACCATTTATCCATACAACACATCCTGCTTTGATTATAAAAAAACAAAACAAAAAACAACACATGTGATATGTGATGATGTAGCAGTACTTTGAATTGATTTATTTAGGTCATTCCATGATCTTTTATTTTCATGTGCCTTAAATAATGTGTTATTTTTACACTATTTGGTGTGCTGTTGGATTCCTTAATTTAAAAACCTATGACAGGTCTATCAAAAATTCTTTAAGCTTGCTCTGGAAAATGCTTGTATAAATGCTACAAAAGACATCTGTCTCAACACATTTTGTACCAGATGATTGTCAACCATATTATATAATTACATTCCCCCTCCGACAGTCATATATTTAATTGTTTAGCATTTTTTTGACATCATTATAGAAAATAGATAAAGCTATGCTCTATGTGAGATGATGATGATGTGAGAGATTATATTATTTTATTCTTTACTTGTAAGCGTGACTTCATGGAGACATCCAATTCTGAGACCTTCTATCCAAAACTGGAAATGTGGAAAAATATATAAAGTGACAGTGTATGTCTTACTTGATTTGACATTTTAGAGCAAATGATAGTAACCAGTGATAAGTTACTGCAATGTTTAAATTTGGTCCAGATACTTACTTTTATTAGATTGTCCAGGTGATGGGAGAGTACTTCAGTGGTGCTCATGGATGATTTGTTTAACCCCTTAAGGACTGGCCTGTTTTTGCGATGTAAATTTGCGACAAGGCATCTTTTTACACTTTTGTGGTGTTTGTGTTTAGCTGTAATTTTCCGCTCTCTCATTTACTGTTCCCATACAAATTACATTTTTTTTTCAGGACAAAATGGGCTTTCTTTACATACCATTATTTATATAATCTCATGTAATTTAATTAAAAATAAAATAAAAATGAATATATCATGAAAAATTAAAAAAAAAAACTTTTTTTGACTTACGTGAAAAATCTTTTACTCATCTACAAAAGCGAATGAAAAAAACTGCTAAATAGATTCAAAATTTTGTCCTGAGTTTAAAAATACCCAGTGTTTACATGCTTTTTTGCATGTTATAGGGCGATAAGTACAAGTAGGATATTGAGGTTTCAAAACATAAGTTTTTAAAATTTATCAATAGTGACATTGTAACACTATTATCTGTCATAAATCTCTGAATAACACCCCACAAGTACATATTTTTTTTTTAAAGTAGACAACCCAGGGTATTCAATATGGGGTATGTCCAGACTTTAGCAGCCACTTAGTCGCAAACACTGGCCAAAGTTAGCGTCCATATAGTGTGTTAAAAAAAGTAAAAAAAAACTAAATTGAACGCTAATTTTGGCCAGTGTTTGTGACTAAGTGGTTACTAAAAAAAGACTGGACATACCCCATTTGCAATACCTTGGGTTGTCTTCTTTTGCAAATGGTATGCTATCATGGGGGTAATTCTCATTCCTGGGATACCATACGCTCTCAAAGGCAACGTAACCAACCTGGCCATTTTCAATGTAAAAATATTTGACGCTGTAACTTTCAAAAATGCTATAAAACCTGTACATGGGGGTGGGGGGGGGTACTGTTATACACAGGAGACTTTGCTGAACACAAATATTAGTGTTTCAAAACTGGAAAGTATCACAACAATAATATCAGTAAAAGTGCTGTTTGTGTGTGAAAAATGTGAAAAAAGTCACTTTCGCTGACAATATCATCTCTGTGATATGTTTTACTGTTTTGAATCACGAATATGTGTTCAGTGAAGTCTCCCGAGTAAAACAGTACCCCCATGTACAGGTTTTAGGGTGTCGTAGAACGTTACAGGGTTAAATACAGTGCTAGCAAATTAAATTCTCTGGACTTCCAGCCTGGGTTGGCAGGCAGGTCCCTCAAATTGCAATCAATAAAATTACTTAATTATGTAAAAATATTACATAAATACGCACGTAGAATTTAAATATATATGCATATTTATATATTTGAAGTCTACGTGTATATTTATATAATTATTTATGTAATTTTGATTACTGCATATGTATATCTCGTATTATTTTTATTTATATATACATAGATATATATACAAATTCATTCTAAGTGTATTTTGATATAAATATATATATTAATATCAAAATACAGTTAGAATAAAATTTCATATAGATATAATTTTTTTATTTAATTTAAATTACTTATTTGTATTTTATAATATATATATATATATATATATATATATATATACATACACACACACACACAATATATATATAATTATATATACACGTGTGTAATTTAATTATAAGTGTATTTTTATATTAATATATGTACATATTAATATGAAAATACACTTCGTATGACATTATATATATGATATATTATATCTATATGATATATGTCTATATATCATATATATATACACACATATAATTATTTTTTTTAATTAACATTAACTTTATTTTATTTTTTTATGATTTTACACTAGCAGGGAGACTGCCTGCAGGCAGACACTAGGACACCTATTGTGACCATGTGATCGCTATGTTGAGCGATCACATGGCCCCAGGGGTCCTAATCCGGTGTGGGGAGACAGTCTGTGCTGCAGGCAGTCTCCCCACACTGGGAGCAACGCCGATCGCTGCCGGGGGAATGACGGCGATCAGGTAAGTAACTAAGACCGTTAGGACGGTTCAGGACCGTCAGCGGTCGGCAATGGAAAAATGCTGATGACGGTCCTGAAGGTGTTAAAGATGCACATGTTTACATAATAAACCATTCATTCATAGATGGGAACTTGAAAACATGCCTGTTAAGGCATATATTGTTTATTAGAATACTATATGGTAAATTTGGAGTGGGTTAGATTGGCCCCAGAGGGAATTAAATTGTAAAATGCAGAAAAGGCAGAGTTGGTGCCTAGGAAAAGGTCTAGTCAGGGCCGTCTTTAACGCGGGGCAAACAGGGCAGCTGCCCCGGGCCCTGTCCCTGCTGGGGGGCCCGAGGTAACTGCCCTGTTTGCCCTCTGCCCGCAAACTATGGGAGCCCATTGGGTGGCCCATGCACTTAGGGCCACCCAGTGGGCCTGTGTCAGCAGGGGCCCGGTTGGGCGCTGTGGCGCTTTAACAGTGCGACCGGGCCCTTGCTTTTCGGCAGCACTGGGAGGAAGTGACATCTGTGCGTCACTTCCTCCCACAGAAACAGGAGCCACGCGGGAGGAAGGAGGACCAGCTGTTCCGGAGGAGGCCAGGCCGGGAGATCTTAACTCCCAGCCACCCCACTGGACCCCAGGGAAGCCACCCTCCAGGAAAAGGTAAGAAACTGGAGGGTGGTTATCAAATTTTGCATGAGTGTGTCAGTATGTGTGTATGTCTGTTAGTGTGCCAGTATGTCTGTCAGTGTATCTGTATGTGTGAGAGTCTGTCAGTGTCTGTGTGGTTCAGTATGTTTGTATGTGTTTTTCAGTAGGTCTGTATATGTGTGTATGTCTGTCAGTATGTCTGTGTGTGTGCATGTCTGTCAGTGTATGTGTGTATGTGTCAGTATGTCTCTGTGTGTGTGTGAGTCTGTCAATGTCTGTGTGGTTCAGTATGTATGTGTGTTTCAGTATGGCTGTCTATGTGTGTCAAAATGTCTGTATGTGTTTGTCAGTGTCTGTGTGTATGTGTGTTTCAGTATATCTGTCTGTCTGTGTGTATGTGTGCCAGTATGTCTGTGTGAGTCTGTCAGTGTCCATGTGGTTCTGTATGTCTGTGTTTGTCAATATGTCTGTCAATGTCTGTGTGTATATGTGCCAGCATGTCTGTCAGTGTATCTGTATGTCAGTGTCTGTGTGGTTCAGTATGTCTTTGTGTATGTGTGTTTCAGTATGACTGTCTGTGTCAGTACGTCTGTCAGAATGTGTCTCTGTATCTGTAGGTTTTCCGTTTGTGTGTGTATCTGTATATCTGCATGTGTTTTAGGTTGTGTATCTGTGTGTCTGGATGTGTGTCAGTATCTATATGTAGTCAATGGGTGTACCTTTGTATCTGCATGTATGTCAGTGTTTATATCTGTGTGTATGTCTATGTGTGTGTCAGTGTATCTATATGTAGTCTGTGTGTATCTGTATGTTCTTGTGTGTATCTACATGCGGTCAGTGTGTATCTGCATGTGTGTCAGGTAGTGTATTTGTGTGTATCTATATATAGTCAGGGGGCCCAAGTAAATGGTTGCCCAGGGTCCAATCAAAATTAAAGACGGCCCTGGGTCTAGTGGCAGTCAGACAGCCCTAGATGTGCTTCCTGTGCCAGTGAGAAACACTGTGCAGCACTGACACAGGTAGCACCTCTAGTGGCCATCTGAGTGACTGCCACTAGAGTAAAGTAAGTGGGAAGGACAGAGAGGATCACTTCCTAAAGGACAGCATAGCACACCAAACTCAAGTAAGGGGTTAATATTGATGTGGTTGCACAAGTAATAGTTCTAGATTAGCTATAATGAAAATACAAAATTGCTTTAGAGTGTTTATACACTTGACTGTCAGTTTGGTAAGTAGATTGCTACAATACCTTTTCAACCTCTACAATTGTATGAATTTATACCTTCAGTAATCTAGTAAATACATATGTATACAGCCTTCTAATGAACTCTATACCCTATTGTGAAAGAGTGACAAGGAAGCTTTAGAGCAAGCATGTCAAACTTGCAGCCCACCTGCCCTGGAGCCACTTCATGCTGTGGCTGTGACCAGCACAAGACAGGAAAGAGCTTTCTTGTTTCTGGTCTTCCCTCCCACGGCTGTAAGAGAGCAGAGTGGCTGTCTGCAGAGCAACCAGCCACTCCCCCTTACCTCCTGCTTACAGTGCCAGAGGAGCATCTGGCCTGCTAGAACAGAAGAGAGCAGGGCTGGAACTGGAGGATGGGTGGCTTATCTTAAGGATGGAGAAGAGGGGCTTGGGGGACCTTTCTGTGTAGTGTGTTTAATTGGGTAGGGAGGGGCCAGTGCATTAATTTTATGGAGGGAGGCAGGGGGCCAATGTATTAATTTGGGGAGGGAGGGGCCAGTGTATTAATTTGATGGAGGGAGGCAGAGGGCCAGTGTATTAAATTTGGATGGAGTGGGGCTGTATATTAGAGTGGTGGTCGGGGGGGAGGGGTGCAGTATATTAATTTGGGGAGGGAGGGGCCAGTGTATTAAATTAAGGGAAGGAGGAGGCAATGTATTAAATTAAGGGAAGGAGGAGGCAATGTATTAGATTGGTGATGGGGGCAGTGTATTAGATTGGGGGAGGCAGGGGACTGTACTAAATTAGAGTGGAGCGAGTGGGGGCAGTGTTTTAGAATGGGTCTGCATGGAGGTGCTTAATGCTCCCCAAGGAGATGCTGATTGGCCGCTCAACTTTTTGCCACACATCCACAATAGCCTCCCAATGCTTTCCTATAGGAAAGCATTGGATTGGCTGAGATCATCCACACACTGCATACATTCATCATTTCAGTCCCATTACGAAACTTTTCTTAATATTTTCAGGTAGTTGGACTGAAACATTGGGTATATGCAAATGCATGTCTCCTTAAAATAAATTTGCTCTTTTGTTTACTTTGAAGTCCTATGTGCATGAATACGTCCAGTGTCAGTCAGGCAACTTTTTTTATGTTGTACTTTTCTAAATAAACCCATGTTTCTATGAAAACTGACGTTTGTTTTTTTTGCGGCCCACAAACGTAAATGTTGTTTATTTAGCCCATGTTAGCCTTAGATTTACATTAAAAAAAAAAAAGGAAAACATTTTTTTTTATACTATACACCGCACTGGTGACAGATGTGATCATCTTTTCTCTTGCAGGCAGAGAGCCCACATCAGGAATGATTGCTTCTTCCTCCCTTCCACCTCCTTCCATTACACAGAGTTATTTATATTTAAAAACCCATCCCTTCGCTCGCATGCGCTCTGAGCCGATGAAACAGTCCAATCACAAGCATCTGTATGACAAGCCTGTGATTGGACCACACAAAGCCAAGGGGCCTGGAATCTTCGCCTGGCGATGGATTCAGGGTAACCAATGCTCTCTTGCCTTTTCTTTTGGCAGGTCATACTGTAAGTCGAAGGGTGGACCTTCTTCAAAGTGCCTAATAGGGCATTTTACACCAAAAAAAGTCGTCGCGCCCCCCTCAAAAGGTTAGTAGTAACCCTTTAACATTTGAGTCACAATATACTTTTCACTCATAATAGTAGGTTATCACTGTGGGAACTGCGGCTACCACTACAGTAACCACATGACATTTCTTCTTGGCTATATAATTCCAGTGTGATGTTTTAATAAATAATACACTGTCAATGTCCAATCTACTTCTTTAGAGTCATAGATTTTAAGTCACCATATGTAACAACAAATAGTTTGTTTCCCCACCAGAGAAGAGCTCCATGAACACTCTGAAGGTATTTATGCCTTTATTTACAAATAAAAATTACTAAAAAGGAGTTTAGGCAGCTTTAGTCCTCCTACAAACATACTTTGATATACACAAATATTGCCCACTCACTCGGATACTTGCAAACATGGATCTTCTCAAACACACATCCACTCATCACTCCCTGTATATTGAGTCTCCCTTCTTGCCTGCTGCCTGGGACTGCCCTTTCCCTGGGCCATAGAGCAGCAAGGTGTACACAGACTATTAATAGACTGTTGCACACCTCTTGATGACATAATTGCAATGGCTTCTTAACCTTGCAAAGTCACATGCTGAGGCTAGCTAGCTCCCATGCAGCTGGGTTTTTCACAGAAGCCTGGTCAAGCAATGAAAAGTCAACATGTAGAAAGTATATTCCATTCTCACCCAAGAATATATACACAGGATTATCCTATATTATTATGAATCGTGTACAGGTAAGAATTCAAAGTGAATTTCAGAATTAAAGCCAAAATAGCTGAACTACTGCTCAGTTATGTAAGCTATAACTTGAAATGTCCTCTTAATTCCCACTTGAATGAATAACCATGTCAGAAGGCACCAGGCTCTTCATAGTGGGTGCACTTTATATAGCACAGGATATGTGGTAAGTCCCCTAAATGTAGGATCCCCCCACCTGCCACAACACGTGCATTATTTCATTTGATAGAGGCAAACCAAGAATAATATTTCAGTTACTGATTAGTTACCATTGCCCTGTTGCTGTGGGGAGATGATCTGCATTAGGGATATGACTGAACCAAATATGGTGGTGTTACAAGCTGGTCAGGCTAATAAAAAAAAAGGATTTAACCTGCTTTTTTGACTCTGCTGTAAAGTTTCCTCAGTCATTAATTTTTTTCCCTTCAATTATTGGCATCAATTCTTTTGTGAACTATATTTAACCTTCATTTTTTTTAAATGCATACATTATTCTTCTAAGAGTCAGCAATGGGCACAGAAAAGAAATGGGGTGAGGGGTGGCAAAAAAACAACAAAAAACTACCACATGGCACTTTGTGGAAGCAGTTATGTTTCAATATTAAAAATAAGTCATTATCAACTTTTTCTTTCATTTTCTAAACAGCAATGAAATCATCCACACAAACAGAAAAAAATTAATGAAATAAAACAAAACAAAACAAAAAAACCCGGAAAAATCCATTAACGCCAGTAATCGATCAGTGAGTGAGGCAACAGTAACTGTGCTACCCCTCTTTTGCAGGTCGGAATCAAGCACATATTAATTTCAGATAGATATATACATCAGATATAGCTCCTCCTGCAGGAAAGGGGTTGATAAGATTCCTGTATGCTGGATAATGCTGTTCTCTGCATACTGGCTAACTGCAAATGTCCCTGTGATTAAGCTGTATCTCATAATTTATGCTGTTTGACTTCACATTTTCATTTTGCTTTTCTAGAGACCTGCCTTAACTATGGGCTTTATTTCATGGCTGATATCATTCCTCTAAAAAAAAAAAAAAAAGTGGTGTTTTACACTGCGTTAAAATTGCAGGACACTGGGCTGTTTCCATGTCAACGTCCTGCAGGAAAATGTGTTATTTGAAATTGTTCATTGGAGACTTTTCTTCTAATAAGAGGCACACACTTAGTCTCCAAATGAACATGTTTACCTTATTACCCAATAAACATTACTTTTTCACACAAGAAATTTCTAAGGAAAGTGGAAAAAAAATATTTTTGTGTAGCTAGTCAAGAAGGCATGAATAAGACTTCCAGTGTGTGTGCTTATCTGAGAGTGTGACTGGAATCGACTTGTGTACCTGTGAGTGGGTGATCAAGTACAAACTACTAGACTTCTTAACGGTCAGCTGAAGCCTTGCAGATACAGCTACCACTTCGACATTTACCATGGGAATAAATAAATAATAATAAAAAAAAAATAAACCTGTATTTATATTTATTTATAAATCAGTTGCCCACCAGGTTTCCTCCATACAAATTCAGTCACCGCACAAACTTCCTACATACTGTGTGTGCGTCTGTCTGTACCTGTATATTTTGGGCACCCTGAGCTATTATTTCAGTGTCTAAGACATGATTTTAAACTCTTTCTGTACAATGGGACATGAAACTTGTTTGTGTTCTAGAGCATGGAATGCAGGGATTACCCTACCTCATGTCCATAATGTCATTTATCCTCTGATTCCTAATCTGTACCAGGGATAACAGCAGCATTAGCTGACATGTATAACATTTTCAGGAGGGTTTACCAACTTAAGGTGTCCTTTCACCCCTGCCCATTTATCTTACATAATCTGAGTCCCAAACCCATTTAAAAAAAAAAAAAGAAAAAAAAAAAGAAAATAATTATAAATCTATTCCAAATAAAATACCCTCAAAACCTACAATGAAAGGAAAAGCAGTTATTTCTGTCCGCCCAGCCGGTCTCGTCCTCATTTCCTGACCTGCCCCTTCCAGAACGGGGCAGATGGGAGAAATAAAGGTGTTCTCCATATCTTCCTTTTGGGCAACCGTTAGGGGTGGCTGTAAAAGTTTAATTTGCAAGTCTGTCACTGTCGCTCAAAAAGAAGAATCCTCGTTAAAGCTTGAGCTCATTTGCAATTTTTGAGGCAATGTTCTTGAATGCCATAGAAGTGCCAGATATACGCTTGAAGCGTACGCCGTTGAGTGATAGGCGTGGAAGCTTGCACACCTCCATCTCCCATTGCACAAAGCTGTCGTGGCCTGGTGAACCATGAACACAAAGCAGCATGTACTTCTCTTGTGATTCGTGCTGACAGTTGTTGGCATCCAGCACCTTGCGAATTTCACTCATCATCTCATTGGGCTCCATGGAGCTGGTGGTTTTCATGCTCCAGGTGAAGCGTAGCGAGCGTGGCTTGGAGTCCCGCAAGTCCTCTTTCTCCTTGTCTAGTACTGTGAGCTGAGGCCTGTGTGTACAAACATACGGTCAAATATTTTTCTGCAACCTAAGCACAAAAATAGCTCTTTAATGCCATTCAAAATCACTCAGTATCTTCAAGATGATGCACAAACAACATCAATAATTTTATTATGCTTGCTTTGAAAAAATAAATATATACCGTGTGTAAATGTAACAGTATTCATAACGGCTACATTTACTGAGAAGTAAGATTCTAAATTCATTCTGTGGGAAATATTTTATGGTTCATTCCTAGAACATATACTCAAAAAAGTGATATGAAAAAGCGAAATTCATCAGAGAATGAGGATGATATTTATTTTATGTTCTAATAAACAATCTTGTCCCTGCTTACAAAGTAGACAGAACTGTATATGTTAAATAGTAAAGAAAGCTCAGTTTTGGTTGGCAGAATACCTAAATTGACACTATAGTCACCAATACAACTTAAGTTTAAAGGACCACTATAGGCACCAAGACCACTTCAGTTTAATGAAATGGTCTGGGTGCCAGTTCCCTCTAGTTTTAACCCTGCAGCTGAAAACATCGCAGTTTCAGAGAAACTATGTTTCACTGAGGGTTAATCAAGCCTCTAGTGGCTGTCTCACTGACAGCTGGCACCGATTTTAACCCATTTAGCCCAGCGGGAGAGGGGATCCAATGACCCTCTAGTGCCAGGAAAACCTGTTTGTTTTCCTGGCACTATAGTGGTCCTTTAATGAAGCGGTTTTGGTGTACAGATCATGCATCTGCAATCTCACTATTCAATTATCTGCCATTGAGGAGTTAAATCACTTTGTTAATGCAGCCCTAATCACACCTCCATGCATGTGACTTACACAGCCTTCCTAAATACTTCCTGTAAAGAGTCATCTAATGTTTATACTTTATTGCAAATCCTGTTTAATTTAACATTTCTTATCTCCTGCTCTGTTAATAGCTTGGTAGACCCTGCAGGAGCCTTCTGTATGTGATTAAAGTTCACTTTACAGAGGAGGAGATAAAACTTTTTAAGTATGTTACATGTGATTGAAAATGAAACCATTTTGTTTTCATGCAGGCTGTGTCAGTCACAGCCACGGGAAGGTGTGGCTGGAGCTGCATAAACAGAAACAAAAGTGATTTAACTACTCAATTGCATTGATTTGAGCAGTGAAACATTAGAGACATAATCTATACACCAAAAAGACATGATCTATACACCAAAACCGATTTATTCAGCTAAAGTTGTTTTTGAAACTATCATGTCCCTTTAACAAGTACAGATTAAACTACATGTATATTTATTTCTAGCCGTTTAGTCTATACATTGTGTTATCTACTTTTTATGGATGATCTTCTGGCACTCATGGATGTGACTAGTACCCAGTGAACCCATGGTAAGCTGTCAAACTACTTACATTGTCAGGGATGTCAGGTCTCACATGGCACCATAACCACTACAGCACACTGTAGTGATTACGGTGCGGTTTGTTTCCTTTCTTGAAGTGACAGGCAGAGCATTAGTCATACACATGCAGCACCAAAAAGATCTTTACAAAAATGTTTGTCTGCTGCATTTTCATAATTCATTTGTAAAGCTAATTGCATAAGCTATGGTGCCTAAAGGACCCTGCCCTTGTTTCTTATACAGTTGGCTGTTGTAGCTTAATGCCCAGCCCTTTTTTGACCTCAATCATCTGTACAGTATGTGAATGTGGTGTGCGGACATTTGTTCAAGTCCCTACCTTCCCTTCCCAGCTATGTGAGAGATGCAGTAGTAAACATGCATGGGTGGGTGGCTGCTCTGGTGAATTTAGTGTACAGCCCCATTCACAAGAAAATAAAATTAAAAAAAAATGTTTGACAGGATTTTTGGGACAAAGTCAAAGCCCATGCAACAGAATGGGTGACTCCATACTTATGGAGACTGGTCTGCGATGGGCTCTCTGCTTATGTTTGTCTGTAGATCTGAAGCAGCATGGACTTTAATCTCTTAAGGACCAATGACTGACTGACTGCCAAATAATACCCTTTAAAGACCCTACATCAAAATGAAATATGGCTATGGAATATCATATTTAACAGAGCTGTATATCACAACAAATGCTAAATAAACAATACAGTCCATGCAAACAGAGCAGAATTAATCATAAGACAACCCCTAGGGCCCAGGGGTTAGACGGGGCGACTGACATGACCATCCCTAAATGAAGAATAAAAAGGGTGGAAGGGGAGGGTGGAGAGGCAAACTGGTAACCTGCTCAGGACCTTACTCTTTCTCTGCTGCTACATACAAGTTCTTTAGGGACCTGCATGTGATGGTGGCATAAATCTCAATAATGAATTAAAAACTGGGGGTTGCTTCCAGCATGCAGTGTCCCTTATTACTCAGAAAAAATGGTTTACAGAGTTAAGGCAAGACACGGTCACATTTTATCAGAATTATTACAGCAAATAACAAGCATTACAAAAGGTATTTTATACGTAGCATTCAAATTAATTGTATTCTGTAAGGTAAATTTGTGCAATGCCAACAATAATAATGTACCTCTAATTTTCTTTCATTTATAAAAAATAAATAGTGAACTGTCCATTCACTTCCAAACTACCATAAGCAACATTTGCAATTTGTCAAGTGCCAACAAACCAGTTTGAGTCTTCAGCTATAAATCAAACCTTCTGTTCTAGGTATTACACAAATGCAACAAGTTGTCTATCTGATAAATATTTTGAATAATGATTAGGCACTATGGCAGTGATGGCGAACCTTTTTGAGCCCGAGTGCCCAAACCGCAATACATGTCAACTTTTTTTTCCTCAAAGTGCCAACACAGCAAATAAACCTGAATACTGAGATTTAAGTTCAGAAAAAACAACTCATACAGTTGTCTGAACTAGTTAACTTCTTTTGTTTTAAAAGACAAAACAGAGAGTTCTGTTGGGGGGCGGGGGTAGGGGTGCTCTGTTGGGGGGGGTAGGGGTGCTCTGTTGGGGGGGTTTAAGATACATTAAAAACGTTTAAAAAAAATAAATAAATAAAGCATATTGAATCAGTATTTCCTCCCCCCCTTCATCTTACCGTGGAGGGGAGGGGGGGAACACAGCCATCCCTGGTGGTGGTAAGTATGTAGGACAGGAGCCTGCAGCTCTCCTGTCCTCCCGCGCGATGCTGTGTGGAGCGTTGCCATGGTAACGCATGGCAACACTTCACACAGCTCGCGGGAGGACAGAAGAGCTGTTTCCTAGATGCCTGCCCCCTGCTTCCGAGTCCTGCCAACAAGGAAGCAGTGTAGGCGCCTGCCGTTTCGGGCAGGCAGGTGCCTACTCTGCAGTGATGCCGAACCTATGGCCGCGTGCCCACAGAGAGGGCCGGTGTGCCACCTGTGGCACGCGTGCCATAGGTTCGCCATCATTGCACTATGGAGTTTATTTTTCTTTTCTTCAACTATCTCTTATATGTGAATTAAACAGCTTAGATTAAAGTGCTGTTCTATTCAGGTAGTTTTGCATTAGACAGGATTATTCATTAAACTTCAAATCGCAGCAAATTGAAATCAAAATAGCAAACGTTGGACTAAAAGAGCCGATTTGATAAAGTTTTTTTTTGTTGCAATTTTGTTTTTAATTCACTGAATTTGGTTTACTGGACATCTGCAATCCCCTTGCCAATGTTCTCCTGTTCCCAGGTCAGTGAATAAAGCTCCCAACACACACAGCAGATGTGTGTTGCTCTGCAGCAGTAACAGTTCACAAGAGATAGGGGAGAAAGACCAAAATGTACAACTGGAATGAGCAGGTTAACATGATAAATTAATCCAGAAGGAGAATTAGAAAGAGCCCAGTGGTAGAAAGGTGACAGGAAGGCATTAAATGAAAAATAAAATGTATGAAATAAAAAGCATAGGAAAAGAAGACAAAAAGAAGTAGCACAAAATGAGAGATGGGGAGTGTCAAAAAGAAGATGGTAAAAAAAAAAATAAAAATCAATAACTGGTATTAAAAGGACAAAAAAAAAAAAAAAAAGTTAATGAGACAGGGCTCTCTCACCTGGTGCTCTCCACTCGTTCTTTCCCTTCTGGGTCATTTGGGTTCCTCAAAAGAGAGAGGTAAAACAATTCAGTGTGTGAACTCTAAACTCTGCAGAGCAATGGTTGGCTTTTCAATATTTATCAAACAGTCAACCAAACTCTTTCAAGAGCAGAAAGCTCAGCTTTGTCTACACATCATTCAGACAAAACAGTCTTGTACAATAAACACAATTTGTATATTTGGACAAGAAATCCACATTATGATAGAGGCCCCCAAAAAGGTTCCAAAAAGCCAGTATGTACAGTAAGAAGCAGAAAAAAAGGAATTCCAACCAGGCACTGCCACACTAATTAAGGTGGGAGGGAGAATAGAAAAAAAGGGTGGTTGTCCATGGCAATCCTCAAAAGCTAAATTTCCACTTATCAATGGTTAGTAGCAAGAGGAAGTGTTGAGCAGTACTCTCCCTCTGACATAAATGTGTTGGCTATGCTTGTAGATGTTCGTTGAAGAAAGGTGCACTAAACTGTCTGTTAAGTGTACTTTTTCCTTTAAAATAATTACAAGCATTTGTGGTTCTTTTAAAGCTTGCTACTAGATCTTATGTTATATGGATTGATTTCAGCCGATGCTTACCAAAAAAAACAACAGAGTGCTAGTTGTTAGTTTTATCTTCCAAGTATCTTGGCAAATAAAACTTACTAAACTAGTCCCTTCACAACGTTTCACCTCTTCAGTAAGAAAAGTCTACACTTTTATTACAATATTGAGTTAACTGATCAAAATGGGTGAATTTTGATCAGTAAACGAAAAGTTAAATGTTTGGTGGTTTAGTCACAAACTGAAATTCAGTGTGCTGTTAGAGTTCTATTTAAATCCTGGCTGATCCTTATAGTTGCAGCTTGTAGTTAATCATGCATTAAAAACTGTATGGTTAAAGATAGCTCGGTCACTGCAACATATGTGCATGCGTCAATACCCTTTATATCTCTGTTGTTAAGGTTCACTTTATTAAACAATTGTGACAGCCTTTCCTGCACTCACAGAACCCCATATCTGTATTTTTGTCATCTTGCAGTAAAGAGGTGTCTTGAACAGTTTTTAATGTATTTAATGGTCCGTCCCTAGAGACCAGTGTCTAGAAATTAATGTCAACCTAATCTTTTATCAAATCACTACTAGAGTTTTATGAAATAATGTGCTAGATTGCTAGAAGTTATTTATTGCATGGGCTAAACATATTTGATTCTGCAATATACTAGTTAAATCATGCAGGTTTGCATTTCACTTTGTGAAATGCATTCCAGTAAAAGTGTGTGCCTATGGACACAGTCAGAAACACACACAAATCCAAACATTATTGCAGAAAATACACTTGCATTAACGGTACAAATTGTGCAACCGCACTGATAGGCCGACAGCTCTGGGACTTTTCTTGGAAGAAAAATAGATTTCTAATCTTAAAATCCTATGCTCCAATAAGTTACAGCTTCATCTTGGCTATAATAGTCCTTGTATGGTGTTTGCCTACATGCCAAGAGCAGATCATAGATGTTTCCACATTTCTAACTGTCTCTCATACCTTTCAGGGTCTATGTATGAATGAAGCTGCTTCCGAAATGTTGGACTACATACATAACTTTTAAGCAGGTGTTTAAAGAATTCATGTGCCTTAATGAAACAAAAGTGTATCTTTTGACCAGTGACAGGCCTACAAAATATATGATCATATTCTGTAACTAAATTACCATTATTTTACCCAAGAAAAAATATTTAGCTTTATATAAAACTCTATCACCAGTGACAGGTCCTTCACACAGGACTTGAATGCAATACTTGATAAAACTGATTAAAAATCTCCCCTTATTCAAAAACAAAATTATATTTAGACATAATATGCAGTGTAGGTGGGGCGCACAATGACATTTTAATCCATTTGATTGGGTTTAGGATTCATGTGCTGTATGCAGAACCCAGGGATGGTGATGCATTGTATGTCTAGTGGGAAAAGGACCCATCTGTCTACACTCATGTAGGATCATTTGGTGTTTTTTAATTTATAATGCTTTGCCACTGTACTATTCAAATGTTTCTTTACAGTATATTCTTTTTTTAATGCAGTATCTATACAAAACATTTAAAACTGGTGTCAGCACCATCATTGAGTGTTCCTTTACATTGTAAGCAGAATTGTACATGTAATCATCTTACCTCTGCTCAGTGAAATGGGTTTGGGCTCACCATTTTCATTTTAATATTTTCCAGCTCTTTTGCAATTTATTTTATTTCCAAGGATGTCCTCTGTTTCTGCAAATTAGTTCAACTGATGCAGATGAGGCCATATTGAATTCAATAAGGATTTGTTTTGGCACGTTATTCAGAAAGTTTGGCCAATATGAGATATGACTAACTAAAAATTATTACTGAACAAAACACAAACACTTTGGTGTGTAAGAGACAGAATGGTTAAAAGCTTGTAACATGGGCAGTTCTCAGATTTTCCCCTCAAACAAATCAAGATTGGCTAAAGAGGAACAAAAATTAGGCTGGAGCTGCTCATCAGGACAACTCTGATATGTAATGCTTCAAAAATAACTTCCAAAATAAGTTTTCACTCCTTGGACCTGGTTAAGGAGGTACAGCTGATAATTTAGAACCCAGTGACTTCCTATATGTAAGTTGTCAATACGGCATTTCAGAATGTTTGTAAACAATGCAAGCGGCTTCCACTGACCTGAAGAGAAAACTGTCCCATAGATGTGGATGTAAATAGCTGATTTACCTGGCATTCTCTGCAAAGATGTTTGTCCCCCTTTTTCCCTCTTCATATTATTGTACATAATATGTTTTGGATTTATTTTTAAAGCCAACTGCTTCAAGACATCATCATTTTCATGATTTCAGCAACTCACAAGGATAACCATTCATGCACAGCTTAAATAAAAAAAATAAAAAAAACAAAACAAAACAAAAAAAACCAACCCTTCCAATCAGCGCTGAGCTTCTAACAATGTTCAAGGGCTAGTCAAAGCCATTTCCAAGAAATGATCAGTGAAATCATGGTTGTAGAAAAGGGTGCTGCAAGAATTGTATTTGTTTTTAGTAGAAGCAAAGATCAAAATAATTGACCTTTAGGAACACATCTAAGTCTTTGTTCTTCCTCAAAGCCTGTCATAGCTAGTCGTGTATCTTTATCAAGGTGCTCTTCGGTGCTCCATGGTGGCTGTGGCATGCTGGACCCACACAGGACTCTGGAGCAGAGCTACTCCCCTGTCAGGCTCTCTTCCGCCGCCTCCTCCTGCATCCCTCCCTGACTTTCTCTCCGACTACTGAGTGCATTTCTTCTGTTCTTCTTCATTCTGTAAGTGCCAGACCCCTCCACCTTTCCGAATCGCCCCTGACCGTGGGTTGGATTAGCCAGGGTTCTAGAACCCTCATGAGTGTTCGGGGTCAGGTGCGTTTTGACGCCATGGTACATTGTCCTATATATTCTGCAGACTTTGAGCTGTATTGGGAAGTCTGTGATTAGACAAGTCATTGAAAATCTGGGCTGGATTGGGGGAAAGTGGCGGAGGTTGCAAAGACTTCAGACAAGATACATTTATTTTTTTACAAGCTGTTTTTAGATCAAGCCCCAAAGAAAAAATTGCATAATTAAATGCATGCAATTTTTCACAGGGGTATATACTAAATAGTGATTTTTATTTGGGTAGTGGGGTGTCACTTTAAAGGATTACTGGAACCTTTTTGAGAGGAGGGATCTTTCAAGTGTAATATGCCCTATTGGCCAATGTGGAGAATGCAAAACCTGAAAAAAAAAAAAAAAAGTTTTACTTACCTGAAATCCAGCGCTGGGTAACTGTGACTGGACCTTTTCGAGGGCCCTTAGCACATGTGCGCACTCCAAACATGAGACGGGAGGGAGGCGGAGAGGAGGGAATAAGGGTTTAAACAAACAAAAAAATAAAACAACAAATGAGCAATAAGGAGGGAGGGTGGAAGGTGAGGGCTAGCTTCCCCTTGCTGGCCTCTGCCTGCAAGTGGAAGATTTGACTTTTGTCAACCTGCAGTGCATGCTAACAAATGTAATTTATGCACAGAATTGACATTAGAACAGAGTTCTGGTTTGCCAACATCACGTGTGCTTTGGGTGCAACTAGTCTCCAGCACAAATTGCAAATATCAGTATGTGTAGTGTTTTTCAAGCCAAAAAACTATACATATAGACTCCTGACTCCATAACCACTTTAAATCACAGAAGTGGCCATGGTGGTAACTTAATTTGTGGTAGCACTGATCATCATTTTGATTGAAGAGGGCCCTAGTAACTATGATAACTAATTCTAAACAAATCAGACAAAATTCTTATGATCGCCTTTACAATGATACTGAGATACCCAATGTTCAGCAAACACATAAAACCCTATATCTGTTGTCTGCACTGACAAATAGCTTATATCCTCACTACTGAATTAATTCTCTCACACAAACAAACATAGGTTCATCTAACATCCCAGGTGGTGGTCTAAGCCCCATAAAATACCTTTTATATTTTTTCATTTATTTCTCCAAACACAATTAAATTTAAAATGCTATACTCTGCCTTTTCATACATTTAAACAAGCATTGTTACTTTTAGGATTCCTTCTAACGAATGGCAGGTATCACTACCCCTATACTGTCCTGTTTTACAGTCAGTTGTTCTATAGCCCATCTGGAAGGTTAATGGTTGGTACATGCTGTAGTAGCTGATAAAGCCCTCTATCAGTCTCTCCGATGCAGAATGAAGGTGGCCGTGCATGAGCAGATGACTCCTCTATTCACACACTCAGAGCGATTCCGCACGTGTCCAGATGCAGACAGCAGGGAGTTTTGGGATGGGATGGGACAGCGAGAAGATAGAATTTTGTATGGCAAAGTGTGGAGGAAATAGATTAAAGAAAAATAATAAAACAAAACACGAGACACACCTGTCTCTGATAAAGCTGGCAAAGAGTGCCAAGCACCAGAAGTGAAAAGGCCTTAGAACACTGCAGAAGGTGTGTTTCCAGCAACTAATGCTTCTGAATTATTCTCTAACAGGGGAAATGCTGTGTGCATTATAAATAAATGCCACTGTGTGCAAGATTTTATTTACCACGTAAGCCTGGTAAACAGGATGGCACTGTTTTGTGGATAATATTTACTAGATAGTAAGTTAGTTTGAAGGCTACTGATGATAACAGATCTATTACAGTTCATAAAAAGCCACAGAGGCTTATTTATATATTAAACTTAAGCTCATCAGAGAAAAGGGTTTGCATTTCTGATTGATGATCACCTCTAGCAGGAAACGCAATAGGATTTATTATGAATAAGGGAATAACCAAGTAACTGCAGTGTTCAAAGGGAAGAAATAACCAAATAAAGAAATTAAGATCTATCAAATCTTTAGCAATAAGAACACAGAGAGTAAAGTGCCATAGTACAGTTAGAAAGATCTGGAAAGTAACGGTTACACCTTGGAAAAGACAGTCAGAGACATGAGGCAGTTCAGTACCCTCCGCAAGAAATATATGGCACTTTTGATATCATGTGAATAGCAGGATTTAACATGTGCATCTTTAATACCCTGAATCTGCCACAGTTCTCTGTATTAAGCCACAAACACGCACACTGACCCAAAAAAAGACTGAGTGGGACAAATGAAAGGGTGGTTAGTGGACATAAAGTAAAAGAAAAAAAAAAAAATGTATGAGCAGGAGGGGAGAAGGATTGAGGGAATCCATGCCTACCTTCTTGGAAATCTGAAAGACAGATTTCTAGACAGAGTGTGGGAGGAAAACAGAAAAAAAAAAAGTTAAGTGAGGGGACAGGACAAAAAAAATATTATGTCTAAATATTGCATATATACTTTTCTAATCACTTCCTAGCAAAAATGTCTGCACTGTGTTACAGTAAATCTGCTTCCTCTTTTTTTTTTCCAATAAGAAAACACACTCTTTAGATAAGTACTTTTTTCTATGACCTGCCAAAGTACCTTGTAAAAGCAATCATTTACTCTATAAGTTGCCAAGCCATAGTGTGGGATAACAGAAAACGTATTTTCTCACAAAAACAAATCCACACATGAGATCAGGCCAATAGTAACTTCCTCCACTCCCCTAATATGTTAGAGCTCACATATATTAATTCTCACCTGCGCACAAACTTTGAAGTGAACTTGCTGAAGATGCTTCCTGTTGCTCCCCGTCGTCCTTGGCTGTTTCCTGAAGGAGATGCTGGCGTGACACCTCCAAATTGCAGATTTTGCTGGTCCCGAGCTTGGCGAATTTGACCTGCATGAAAAGTGCTGCGGCTGGTGACACCACGGGAAAAGTTGGCCCTCTCTGGGGCAGCACTACTAATATTGTGAGCTGAAGGGGATGCCACTGGAAGTCGCTGTGGAGCCGTGCTGTAAAGAGCCAGAAGGTAAATAAGGTGATTCCATTTTACATTATCAGAAGGCAAAACAATTTTCTCAATTTTAAAGTGTAGACATCTTTTTTTTTTTTTTATTAAAAAAATAAATCCCAGTAGTGCATGGTTTTTGCTTTCTGGTATTGCCCTTTACTGGGTGTAATACAGTGTTAAAAAAAAAATAAAAAACAGAAAAGCAGTCATAAAAGGGTGCTTGGATACAGTGAAGAATAATAGTTATCAAAGCTACTTATTGACTGAAAGGTTGTTCAAGGTGGCCCAATTAAAAAAAAAAAAAATAGTTGCATTATATATATACAAAAATCAACAAAAAAACAAAAACAAACAAAAACTAAATATAAAAAGATGTCACAATATAATTAAAATGGTTTTCTATTTTTATATAAGACAACACATTAAAATAAGTACTATATACTATGGTACGGTTTATTACTATGCACTTAACACTAGCAAAACCCAGGCCCTGCTTAAGGGCTCTCAGCCACTTTGCTAATTTTGTTTTGTACACAATATGCCTTTGACTGGAGAACAGATACAATTTTTTTAAATTTTTTTTTAAATAAATACCTTGGTATCACAGTTAAGAAAAACCCAGCAGATATGCTCCCAGCCAATTATGTCACAGTATGGACAGTTTGTCGACAATTGTTACAAAAATGGTCTCCTTTATTTTTGTCCTGGACAGAACGTATAAGAGCCTTCAAACTGTTGATACTCCCTAGAATACAGTATCTTTTTCGCACACTCACCCTTGATTTGCCAAACTGTTACTTCAAATCCATACAAAACGGATCTCAACAAATTTGTGTGGACGGGCGGGCGGGCGACCCAGAGTACATTCTAGACACATGCAAACACCGACAAAAGTTGGTGGACTGGCAGTCCCTAATGTACAAATGTATTACTGGGCCACTATATAAGCTACCAACATGCCACACTTCACTACGAAGACATGCCCCCAATGGGTTAAATTAGAGCAAGCCTCTCTAAAACCATACAATTTTACTGACCTCATGTGGCTCCCCAAACACCATTGAGCTAATATAAAAGATATTCCCTCTCAGATACAACTGTTTCTATGGGCGTGAGATAAGTATAGGTCAAAACTATGTGCGTCCAACCTCTCTCTGGCAATGCCAGACCCTCACTTATTGTATTTCCACATTCCATGCTGCACCTTGGCTCAAAGAAGGGGCTACACGATTTCCATGTGCTAGAGATTGCTTTCAGCACATCTGACTTTCCCAGAGCCAAAGTATGCAAAGCAACAGGAATCAGAGCTTCAATGCTCCACTTCTCCGAAACAATGGGATAATGTGTGTAATGGGCCGTTGGGTCTGATACGCTCCGCAACACACGCTCCGCAACACCAGAAAGTACTCTATACATGCTATCCAGTCCCATCAAGGCTATATAAAATGTTCCCTCTCACTTCTCCGCTCTGTTGACGATGCAACAGTGCTAAAAAACATGACCCACATATGGTGGAGCTTTATAGCCCTTAGACAATGTTGGGAGACAATTCACTCCCTTACAGTGGACGTGACTGCGAACCAAAATTTTCCTAATATACCCAAATTTAAACGGAAATTAATACTGCATATTATCTTGACAGCCCAGCAGCACATAGCAAAAACCTGGAAATCTACTACGATGTTGCTAACAGATGTATACAGGCAATGTAGATATAAGCATTGCTTCACCTCTATCTTTCCTTATACAAAATTAGTTCTAGAGACGTGGCAGCTCTGGGGCACATGGAGATTGGGCAAGGCTTCATAACTGTAAACATGATATAATGGAGATTGGGCAAGGCTTCATAACTGTAAACATGATATACTTGGACCTTTGATGTAATGTTCAGTGTACTGTCATCATACGACCAAATAACCTATACATGTGCACATTGTGCTTGTGACTCACGTATGCAATGCCTGGAGCTACTAGTTACTATATAATGTATGATGTTACATCATGTACCCCTTCCCCAATCTAAAATAAAAGAGTATTTAAGGGGGCGGAGCCAAGCAACCAACCTGAATGGCCGCACGCCAAGCGAGCTCCGCAGCGAACAAGCACTTTGGGCCCACTAACAAGAACCTATCAACAAAAGCGGCACTAAACTGACCCGCGGACTGCCATTAACGATATGGGACGCAAAACTAAAAAGCCAAAGCCCGACAACCCGCAGCAACATCAAAGTATAGGCGACATGTGGAAGCAAGCGCTCAGCGCCCAAGGCCCAAACATTACCGCCTACAACTACGGCTCGGATGTATCCGACGACTTCACCACAGAGGCGGAGATGGAGAATCCACATACAGGGATACCACCCCGCCAGTCACCCCCGAGACCAGACTACTCACGGTCATGAAAGACCTCCTATCGGAGCTCCAACTAACAATACAGGCCGACATGGCCCAACTACGCAAGGACCTGGAGGCAGACTCACTGTGCACCAAGCAACAAACACAGCTCCTGCAGCAAACGGTCCAAGAACTCAAACTACAGCACCTTACCTACGAGCAGCGCATTGCAACACTAGAGGATCGGAGTCGCAGCCGGAACATTAAAATCCGAGGCATCGGAGAGGAGATACCGTAGACTGAGCTCCCTCACACAATGCGGAGACTAATACAGACGCTATTACCTTCCAAGCGCCCATAGAAAACATGTTTCGCTTGCCACGAGCAGCTAAGGCCCCAACAACGGCCCCACGGGACCTTCTGGTTCGTTTTCAAAACCACGGGGACAAGAGGGCGGTAATGCAGACCACACGAAACCACTCACCGTATCTGTCATGCCAAAAGCATGAGTTGGTGTTTGATGTGTGTTTATATATGTTAAGAGTTGTTTTTTTTGTAAACCTTGGGATGACATTTATTGTGGTCTTTGATCTTGCACCAGGCCTAGACCATAAAACATCTAGATAGCCATCACCAGAGCTGGACACAGGGAATTTCATAGAGTGGGCAATAGACTGCCAGAGCAACCCCCTCTGATCCCCCCCCAGGGGTCTGCCCACTGAGAAACAACTAGTTTAGATATATGAGGGTGTTGGACTATCCAGGGAGTTCAGTTATTCATTTTTCTTTTGTCAGTAACTTCTAGGAGACCTATACCATCTAAGACTCCCACAAGAATTCTATATGGGGTAAATATATGTAAGGAATTTCTTGTGTTTTCTCCTATTTTATTTTATGTACTGTTTTGCAATTTGTTTTCTGTATGTCATTTATTTCTGTATTTTGTACTCAGCACTGTGAATCCTTTTTGTCAGATTAAATGTTTACTTAATCAGCTTGTGTCTCTGTTCTCTATGAGCTTCACTCTCTAGAGGAAAGCTCAGGTAAACACGTTACCAAAAGGGGTTAACTATATATGTTTTATCAGTAAAAGTAGAACTAGAAATAAATAATAATAGATATAAAATAAAAATGTGTTAATGTGAGTGCGTGTGAGTCTGCTCGTGTGTGAGTGCGTCTGCGCGTGTGTGTCTGCTCGTGTGTGAGTGTGTGTCTGCTAGTGTGTCTGACTGTGTTTGTCTGTTAGTGTGTATGTTTGTGTCTGACTGTGTGTTAGTGAGTGTGTGTCTGTTAGTGTGAGTGTGTTTGCCTGTGAGTGTGTGTGTGTGTCTGTTAGTGTGTGTATGTGTATCTGTCAGTGAATGTGTGTGTATTTAGAAAGCGGGGTGGGGGGGGACGCTTGAGTTTTGTCCTGCCTAGGGCAGCACAAAACCAGGATACACCACTGTTACCAACCACCATACCTCAGCAACACCACTTGCTGCACCCATTGAACTTATAAACCAGTTAAACCATATTATTGTTAAAGTTTTATTGCGGCTTCTTGTTATGGAGCACCCACACTAGCACTTGCGGCCAAGGGCACCCTATAGCCACTCACATATAGCTCTCTCTCCCCCCCCCCCGCCGGGGTAATAGGGGTCACTTAGACAGCAGCAGACGGGGGCACTAAACCACCCACTATAACTCGGTACCAGGTGGACAGACCACATGGGCCACCAGCGTACCACATCACTATCATACAAGAACCGGCTCTACAGCACAATCGCTACGACCTCACACCAAGCAAAGACCACCTACCACGCAACACAGCACAGCTTCCACCAGCATAGCACGACCCCAGCGCAAGTCCATACACAGCAGAACATCACGCTCCAGGCCCAAACTCTAGGCTACCTATGCTCATACCGACAACAAGTGCCCCTGCCACAGCCACACTCCCATTGCGCTACAGCTATGTGCCATGAGAAAGTTACTCTCCCAATGTTCTAATTTTATATGGCAAAGGTTACTAACTTTATTAATGCTACTGTTATTCCTAGCTTATTCCAACTAATAAACAAAAATGTGCACTTCTTTGCAATGTCACTGTGATGAACCTGATGCTCAATTTATGAGTGCTTTTGTGGCACTTGACACATGCCTGTAACCACCTCTGCACAGAAAAATAAAGGATAAAAAAAAAAAAGTACTATAATGTTAAAAGGAAACAGCCATTATAACAGTGTGCTTATCTACTTTTAAATTGTGAAAGAAACAAAATATGCAACACTCTGCGTCTATCGTTTTTGCTGTAATCGAAAGTTAACATTTAAAAGGGGTATGAATATGTGAATCGGCATTAACAGAAACCCTCTTTTACAGAGGCACTCCATCCTCCATGGCCACTGCTTTTAGATGTGGTCACAGAGAAAGGAATCTATATGTGCAGTGTTTCTGCTTTAAACGCGGCACATACACGAATATCTGCAATTTAGTGCCAGAGGTTTGTTACACCCCCTGCACATGCGAATTAGGCAGCCCAGAACTGTTCCATGCTACTTAATTTTAATTAAGTGCAAAAATTACCTTTAAGCTCTGGCTTCAGGAGTAATTAGCTTTTCTAACGTCCCCACTAAATTCGCCTCCTTATGCCAGCCCTGTCTCACTCCAAAAATTAAATTACATGTATCCCTTCCTTTCTACTTTGCCTCCTTTTGTCCACTCTTTGGGCATCCCTCCCTCCCGCGTGCGCCATTTGGTGCATTAGCAGCACTCGCCGTGCATGTGCCACAGGTCCATCAATGCTCCTCTATAAGAAGCATTTTATTGGACCTCAACCAGGAACTGGATGACACAGCGCTGACGATGAAGGTTGGGGAAATAATTAACAACATGCTATTCCGGTTATCCAATACCCTATTCAAATGTATGCTTTCACGAAGGGAAACAGACCGATAATATTTGTCAGCATACAATTGAAATTCCACTATATTCTTTTATTAAAGGACATTTTAATATAATGTTTTCAGAATTAGAATTGTCTTGCAAATCATATAAGCTAGATGCCAAGCACTGACATCACTGGAATTATGTGCAAAGTAAGTCTCTGCAAACCAAGAATATCCCTGTTATCACCTGCGCTGGTGGATCTTACCATTAACACCCATCATGTACAAATATACAGATTTTTTGGGGGGAGGGGTTTGAGAGCATGTATTTCTGAGGAAAGTCATCTAGTTTATTTTATCTAATTTTGTAAAAAAATAAAGAAATAGATGCCAGTTTTGCTTTAACCCCTTAAGGACCAAACTTCTGGAATAAAAGGGAATCACGACACGTCACACATGTCATGTGTCCTTAAGGGGTTAAGCAAACTGGATGGTCTATTTCACTTATGAAAACAATTGCTTAAAGCACAAATAACTCAAAAGTGCTTATTTTACTTAAAGCTTGAATAAACGTAATCTAGCCACTGCCAGTAATGCCAATACAAATATCTACATCCTAAGCACGCATCCCCATGCTTACTATTTTGCCGATTAATTCAATTAGATCATTAAAGGCACACTATAGTCAACAAAACAACTTTAGCATAATGAGTTTTTGTGCATAGTTCATGCCCCGGCAGTCTCACTGCTCAATTTATTGCTATTTAGGAGTTAAATCACTTTGGTTTCTGTCCATGACACAGCCTGCATGAAAACAAAATGGTTTCATTTTCAATCAGATGTTAACTTGCTGTAAAAGTGATCTCCTGCTCTGCATAATTAAGTAATTTAACACCCAGATGACAGACAATTGAGCAGTAAAGCTGCAGGGACATGATCTATACATCAAAACTGCTTCATTAAGCAAAAGTTGTTTTGGTGACTACAGTGTATTTAAATACTTGGTGAAATACCAAAACAAACTCAAATCATAACTTGATCACAGATGATTCATATAAATATCACATTAAGACTAACTTTAGAGACTGCACTAGCCACATTATGTGGTCAGCAGGGAGATATTCACATACAAGAGTTTTCAATGTTACCATGGAGCAAGTGGATTAGCCAAGTGCCAAGACGTCATAGTTTCAAAGGATTTTTTTTCTTTTATAAATACTATATTTTTGATGTGCAAAAATATACATAAGATACCACGTTTACAAGATATTAATTGGTAAATTGTGATATCCATCAGATAACATAAGTACGATAAACTGCACATTATTTACAAAAATAAGGTAGAGCATTAGTTACACTCCGTAGTGAGATGCCACAAAAAAAACAAAAAAAAAAAACACATGCCTGTATTTGACTATCCACTCAGACAGGGATATTGGAAGATGTGCACTTGCCACTGTGGCAGCTGCTGGAACTGCCAGACTCTGCTTGCCCATGATAGGTCCAAGTAGGCACAGTGCGATGGCTCATTTCTCAGTTTCAGCAGGAGCAACGATTGTTGCAGCCTGGAGGATTGCTTAGAGATGGGCTCTCCTGCCTGGATAGTGCTCTGAAAAAGCTTCTGGTGTTACAGGGGGGTGGGGGGAAGTTTAGGTATCGGCTGTCTTGGTACAAGGGTATGTTGCCAATGATGGAGCTTAGTCCAGAAGTATGCAAGTATCTGGCTCAGTGTGCTCAAAACGTGAGACTGCTGGTCTCTGTTGTCTAGTAGGTAGTTGGTGTCCGCCATGTTCGAGAAGGCACTCTCACTTGGCTTAGTTAATAAAATGTGCCTCTGGGCACTAGAGCACCAGTGATAGATGCCAGGATTTCCCTCACCGACAGGGAGGGGGGGATAGTGTATGCTCAGTTTTACTCTGCAGATGACAGGGAACCAAGGGCAGAGGCATAGGTTCACCTCCAGGAACTGCCAAACCCCAGCAGAGCTGCTTTAGGCTTAGATATGCTGGAGCTCGCAATAGTGCTTTGAGACTGCAAGATGTGAATGGTCGATATTTGTAGTATAAGTCGATATAAAAGTTACATTTTGCTCGTTGCTCTCCGAGCTCTCTCGAGATGCGTCTGGACAACTCTGCAGTTAGGCTGCACCGCCCAAAATGGATTTATAGTTGACAAATGTAATTTATCTATAAAAGGATAAATGGTTATGTAGAGCGTCCTATGTAAGTAAACCTGGCCTTGAGAAAGATCAGAAGAGATTGAACAATTGTAATCTCAATTGTGGTGGACACCTCAAGAGCAAGTTAAGTTTACAGAAAAGCCTGAGGATTTTATTCCTTATACACTACAGGTATAGTCAAGTAAGGCTACACACACACACACACACACACACACACACACACAAACACACATTAATTTATCTATTAATAACGTGACTAACATATTGTAAGTCTCAAAAGCAGATTTCCATGTGATTCCAATATCTGTGGACTAAACATCAGGAAATTAGTTACAGTGCAGCAACTGATATTCCCAGCCTGCACTCTGGCTCACTGAGTGCAGGACCTGCGAGTGAGTGATTTAAGGAGGTCGTCACCCAGTGGAGATGCAGACCTCACATTTCTACATTAGACAGCCAAGGATTCAGGACACATACTAGACTTCCACAGTATATGATCACCCCCAAATACTACATGCATTCAGCAACCCCATTCACACACCCTACACACTGCAAACAAGCATGCATAAGAGCATTACATACAGCCAACACACTCTGAACACAGTCACTACAACACACAAAGTATAAAGGTTGACAGGGGAAAAGACACTAAACTCCAAATTTTCTCAAATTATATCTAAATGGAAAAACAGAGGCAAAAATAATCAGTTGTGACTAAGTTGGAGATAATTTTTCCAGATAAGCTATTTTTGCCTCAATGTTTAAATTCCCTTAAATTACATTCAAATTTAGAGTTTAGTGAGCAATCCTGTCAATGTCCAGGTCTAAGCAAGGTCCCCAAACTTTTTAACTGAAATTCTTTTATGTCCGGACAAGCAGATTCTGATACTACTTTAGTAGCTTTTTAAATATTTTTGCCACATTCCTGAATATCTACTACAAAAGCCATCTGTGACCCTCTACTGATAACTACAATATCAAACTAGCGTATACATACAACACAAACTCCACACGTTCCCTGGTGATCTGCTCTACAACCAAATATCAGTAGAATGAACAGGGACAAATTTCACACGATTACTCATATTCCTTTTAACCTCTTACAAACTTGCCTGGATCTTTGGGAGTCACAGTTGCCCTCCAAAGAGGGAGCGGGTTTTGAGGGGTGCACAGAGGTTGACATGGATTTCTGGTGCTGACGGATCCGAGCAGAAGTGGCTGGGGCGGAAGCAGTGGAAGCACGGGAACCAGGCGTGGAGAAGCTAATGGGGATGGAGGACAGTGGGAATGGAGACACAAAACAGAACATGGAGACATACTAAAAAAAGAAAAGTGTATGAAGGACAGACTTACTGTAATGAATGAACTAGACAAAATGGAAGGAATATGCCACCTAAAACAGTGACATTAACACAAGGCAGCTATGAGTCTGAACCTTCTTTTTCAGTGATTTGGGAGTAAGCAGAGACAGATGGAAGCTAATCTGATCCTAATCATCTTGAATGATGAAGTACAATAATGCTAAACATCTTTATATCTTTCACTTCATACTCCGATGCCAAACAAGTTTAATTAAGGATGAACAACGTGAGCTTCTAATGCATTACAAAACATTGTTTATTAAACATCCATAATGACATACACTAGAAAATGCTTCCATGACAATACTTCTAAAATTCTGATTAAACTGCAGTTCAATATTTTATTTACCCTTTTGCTTTAAGGAAAAAAAAAAAAATAAAGCTAGTGAGAGAAGAAATAAACAAAAACAAAACATGCCATCACAACAAGTTTTCTTACCTGTCCTTGCCATTCTGAACAGATCCGGGTCCTAGGTTGGCTCTATCCAGCATGGGGGAGTTGCGGCTTCTATTAGTGCCAGTAGACAGGACACTGTTCTGTAGAGGAAATGACTGAATAAGATGTGTGCCAGTAAAAAATTCAAGGTAAAAGTGATTCTATGCCTCCTCATTTCATGCTAAATTCCTGCGATAAGTTTTACAAGTTTTACCCACTAATCAAATGTCTATCTATATGACACACAAATAACTAGAGCCATTTGTAGTAATGTGTGCTGTATAAATTGCAGTGCATCTCCACACACCTGGATATCAGGGATTAATCTGTTTTTGGTATGGAGGGGCAGGTGTTTTTTTTTTTTTTTTTAACCAGTATGCAAGGGACTAAGTCCAACAAGACCACCAAAAGCATTACATGCATTCACATTCAGTGGTGTTCCCTTAATTTTGTATGAGAAAGTATGGACAAGGTGAACTTGTTATGCCAATTCTTTGTAACTGTCAACTTTAGCAGCAAAACAAAAAACAAATATATAAAGGATTCTTGGATAAACCGTAGTTATAAAATGAAAAAGAACCATATTTAATGACCTTAGGACGAGCATGTGGTCAGCTGCCTAAAGCAAATATTCCAAAACTTTTTTTCCTCAGCAAACAGTGCCCACAATACAACTTTCAGAGTCATATTTATTTGATTTATTTATAAAATATTTTACCAGGAAAGATACATGGAGATTTCTCTCGTTTTCAAGTATGTCCTGGGTCTACAAAACATTACATTGATACAATAGGGTACAATAAAATACAAAATATCTACAAAATTTTACATAGAACAGGTAGGAAATATATAATCAACCATGACACGTGCATTCTGTTTTGAGGTTTGTAGAGAGGACTTTAGGCTTGGGAAAGATTTTAAAGTGTGCGGGAGGCCGTTCCATAATTGCGGTGCTCTGTAGGAAAAGGAGGATCAGGCTGCTTTCTTTTTGTATTGAGGTAGACTAAATAAAGTGCTGGTATTGGATCGGAGGTGGGAACAGCCGAGAAGAGCATTCTGCTCAGGTAGGGTGGGAGCTTCCCAGAAAAGCTCAAACATAAGGCTGGAAAGATAAAGGATGCGTCTGGATTCCAGCGACAACCAGTTTAATTGTTTTGGCATGTCACAATGGTGGGTCCTGGAATTACATTGTAGCACAAATCAACAGAACTAGTTATACAATGTATTGTGTTTACTAATGTGGGTTTTTGCGCTGCAGGTGCATATACTACATCCCCATAATCAATGATTGGCATCAGCATTTGCTGTACAATCTTTTACTTTACTGTAGGTCTTAGGCAGGATTTGTTTCTGTACAGGGCACCTAGTTTTGGACAAAGTTTAGATGCAAGTTTTTCTATTTGGAGGCCAAAAGATAGATTGGGGTCTAACATCATACCCAAGTATTTGAAATAGTGGACTGCGGTCAGTGTGCTATTTGAATTAGTTTTGATGGATAGGTGGGAATTGTGTAATTTAGGTACTGTTCCAAAGATCATTGTGACAGTTGTGTCAGTGTTTTTGTCACTTAATCTACCCAGAGCAAAGTGCACCCAGTTTCATCTCCCAAACCTAAAGCCTCCCCATCACTAGATAAAATCCCTCTTCTATTTCTATATTCCAAACACCTGTGAGGCCTACATTAAATCAAGCAAATACAAGTACTTTAACAATCACAATCAAGTTATTGTAATGATTAAAGGGCACTGTTCTCAGTTCAATCATGTTGACAAAAACTAAGGCATTTTTAGCCCCGTCCCTCGTCTGCTGGGGCAGATCATCATTGAAAAGTTGAGACAGCTAATGTGGAAAGCTCTTCTGTGTAAGTCAAAGGGTCAGACTGTAGGCAACAGAGTGACATGGACTGTAACAAATCTTTAGAAAATGGTTTGACAAAGACCAGAGGGAGAACATCTGCAGGTTCTCTGCACCACAACCACTACAATTAGTTAAGTGTTGGGTAAGGCTGTTTTAGCACCCTAAACCTATCAATGCTGCAGGAAAGGCGTCATGCTCTAGGCATGGAGTGAGCCTGGAGTTTCTGATCAAATGTTAAAAAGGTACTCCACTGCCCAATTACACAATCTCTCCTCGTCCCCCCACTATTTGGTAGATATACCCCCAACTGAAAACATGCATGCATTCAACTATTCATTTTTTCCACTGGGAGTATATCTAAAAACGGTTTGCGAAATCTGCAGATCTCTTGCCTGGAGCCTGTGCAAGCCCCCTCACCTCTAACCCAGCCAACACTTTCCGTGGCGGTCCCTCTTTAAGCTGTATTAGGAAGTCTGCAAATGGACACTGTAGTCACCAGAACTACTGCAGCATAATGTAGTTGTTTTTGTGTCTATATCCTGTCCCTGCAGGCCCCCCCCCCTTTTTTTATTTTATTATTCTTTATTTTTGTGGTGCTTTCATTACAATACAAACAAGAAACAACATTATGATAAACAGAAGCCATTTGCAGTAAATTATCTGTATATGTTGATGGGTTAGCACGATTTTTATTATACATATAAGGAGGTAAAATGTAACACCAGGGTTGTACAGCATCAATTAGAGGAGGTCTTGATGGGCATGAAAGACAGCGTGTAGTACATGTCTTTAAGAATCTGCCTGCAGGGTAGCTGCGGGTGACATGTTATGCTAGGGGTGAGGAAGATGCTGAGTGCTGTTGGCCTAAAGACCGCTTACGAAGCCAGGAGGATTAAGGTAACAAAATAAACAACTTGATTAAATAAGATAGTAGAACTGTAAAACAACGTGCACTAATAGGGTATACACAAGTGGGATATTGGATTGTCACTCATAGTGGTAAGGCACCTGGTGGCTGCGCTGCTATTCCAGGCACGGATGGCGTGATTCGGTCCACAGACCAAGAAGGGCGATGCGCAGGGATACCAGAGTCTCGGAACAGTGAGGGCGCCTGCGGCGTGTTGGTCATATGGTAGGTCGTACCGCCTTTCCCCACCAAAAGTCTTCATGCTCCCCACTTATAAGGGATTTTGTGTTCCCTAAGTAGCTGGGTGGTCTGCCAGAGTGACTGCCTCCATAAAGTGTTGAGCAGTGGCAGCTCCAAATCTCGCGAGAGTGAACTCTAGCCCTGGAGTGCGGGCTAGAGTTCACTCTCACCACTGGGACCACCAATGCATCCCCCACCAGACCACCAGGGACTAAGAAATGTCCCCCCTCCTCCTAGTAAAGGTAAGAAGGGAGGGGGGAAATAAATATATTTATTTTAATTAAATAAAATTTTTTTTTTTAAAAAAGAGCCTCCCTACCCTCCTTCCCCCCCCC